GCTGGACCTGGAAGATACAAACATGTATTAATCAGTGTGTTTACATGCAGAGTGACGTGCACAGATAATTTGTGGGGCAGATGCTCAAGTGTAAAAAGAGCACCCCTTCCTACTAATAATCTTTGTGTGCTCCTAAAGCTGCCCTGCAGGGAGGTTTCTGTGTGTCTGCAGGAACCAGAAGGCTCTTGAGCCTCAGTACATACAGTACATTAGTGCACAGTAATGATCAGGGAAATGTCTAACTTACATATGAGGTGTCTCAGGATCTGTGCTATAAACACCCAGCAGCTGCTACACATAAACATTCACTTTATACATTTATCATTTATTAGTAACAGGCAACGACACACTGTGCACGCTTTAGTGTTCTCTAGAATAAATTACCATTTAAAATCAACAAATCTTTAAACAGTTGTCTGAATAAATAAAATAATAAACCAACCAATCTACCCTCCACCTGCCTCTATTGATGACAGCTCCCAAATTATAGATCCGATCTGTCTTCACTTGTACAGTGAAACAAGCTGCTGAAGACATGAACTGAATGTTTATATTCAGAAGGTGATTTGGTGATCATGTCTCTGAACCAGGACAATTAACCTCTTTAAATGATTTGACTGGAAGAAGCTTTGCTGGGAAACAGAGGCGCATTTCTCTCTGCAGGATGGACGACGCCCCGCTAAATACTGCGCAGCTCTATGATCCGACTGTCATTAATCAGAAGGAGGCTGCAATTCACCGACATCACCAAATATTCATGTGTCATCATTATTAGGATAGAAATATATATATGTCACATCTTCCTGTTCCTGATGTTGATGTTCAAATGGAGCTAAATGCGGATGTTGCAGGTGTTATCGTTCTCCACCCACCGCTGATAAACTTGCCACTATTCTGTTTCCACACTCCACATCTTCACACACTTTTCATCCACTCACATACAAAACACTTGAGTCTAAACATTCATGTTCTCACCGTTTCCATCAGCTGACGTCATTCCACACCGAGTCACGAGACAGAGACACACGACAGGAAGAAGCTTCATAGTTGTTGAAGTCACCTGAACATTAAACATCACTTTAACATCACTGTAACGGCACTAACGGACATTGAACGGCTTCTGGCTGCGACACACACAAACCGACACACTTTGGATTTCTCTGCTTCAGAGACAACTGCAGCACTTCCGTTCTTACTCCTTCACAATAAGAGCGTCAGTTACAATATGATGACCTGTGAAATCAGGACCTAAACTGTACAAACTGTCAGAATATATCGAAAAAGAATTCAGATAATTTACTGTAATAAAAGTACTAATACTTTTACTCCACTAAAAGCCAACAGGCTAAATTTACACCCTCAGTGGGCGATGTATCTCAGGAGATACAATTTCTAATTTAGAAAAAACAGGTCATGTTTTAAAAAAAATCATGACACTGTATTTTTTAGCCAGGATACATTAGAAAATAGCAATGAATTAATTTTCCAAAATATTTATATGTGCCAGCCCATTTAAGGGTTAAGTAAGAGTGTATTATCAGCAAAATGTATTCAAAGGGATTGCTCAGATTTTTTGAAGTGAACTTGTGTGGGGTACCTGTCTATAGTCAGAGTGTTACCTACAGTAGATGTCAGACATCACGCCTCCAGTTTGGAGAAACAGGCTGGAGTCTGACATGGAGGCTAAGAAATGTACTGCTGTGGACAAGATCAGCAATAAAATGTATTTTAGCCACCTGAAAAAAAAGTCCCACTTTAAAAATGTTAATATCAAAGTTTGAGCACAGAAACATCCAAAACAGTCACAACACACAGTTTGACATTTTTCATGTTTTATTCAAACGTTTGAACAGAAATGATGAAGCTCTGCCTGAAATTACACGATACCTGCAAGAGCATCATCAGAGAACAACAGAAACATACATGAGCTTCTAATATGACAGTCAACAACAGTGTACCTAATAAAGTGGACACTGAGTGTATAGTTCAGTGTGTAACTGTAGCTGACAGACTCTGGCTTAGCACCTTATAAAATAAAAAGAAGCAGTACATGTTTGTCCCAATGATCAATATCAAAATAAACAATAAGTCCCATTATATTTCACTTTAGCTCCAAAATATTCACATTTCTTTGACAGCGTGACAGCAGGCTTTAGTTCAGTCAAGTCTCATGTTTCTGTTAATGTCCATGTGGAGCTCAGTTAGGACCTTTAACAACTACAAGCAGCAGGATCATATTTGGT